AGGGAGGTGTTTTCTGTATAGTTCTTATATACAGTAAAAGATCTCAGCCAGTGACTCACAGACTCATAACCTGCAAAGGGTTTTCATACTGAGCTGTGATGAGGCTTTAAGAGGATTAGACTTTCAGTAAATCCTTAAAACTATTAACATGCGGAACGGTTATATTCACTAGTGTGAGCATGTAAGCACTTGACTCAGAAAGTCTTCTTTTGCATGGTGCTGTGATACCTATACCAAATCAATTAACTAATTTGTTAATTTTTCTTACCAGAATGGCACTGCTCCAGAGACCTGCTGCAGTGAAATAGACACAGGCCGTCTTTCTTCACATCTTCTTGAGATTTCACAGCAAATTATTTTTACAGGGAAAAATATAGATTTAATCGTTTTCTCACTTTTCCCATTTTGCCAGTTTGGAGGCTGTAGTGCTGCAAGGACTTCTACAGGTGACCCAAGGTCTAACTGAGCTTTCCAAAGTAACATGAGTTGAAGAGTAGATGTCCAGAATGCTGAGCAGGAACTAAATAGAAACAAGTAAACATCATCATTAATCACCATTATACAATTCATTGGCGGAAAGTTAAGCTAAATTGTTGCCAAGCTACAATATCACCCCAACCCAACACCTTCCTCTCTGCTAATTTACAGCTTTCTACACGTTTTTTAGCTGATTTATAATAACCTCAGCCTTTTAGGGTAATTAATATTGCAGCAATGTAATTTCCCTTTAGGGATTAATAAAATATTACTCAACTGAATTGCAATTAAGTGTTTTTTCACTTTTTCACACCCCACATTTTTTTCTACACAGTCAACAACTCTGCAAATTGGTCTTCTGTACTGTAATATGAAGCAAATTACTGGAGTCGGAGGACATCAACATGAACACACATCTGCAGTTCAGATTCTGCGTTCTTATTAGGGGTGCCATTGGCTCTGAACGGCTTGCTTTGGAATAGCTTGTAAAAGCAACTCCGGTTCCCCATACCCCTAACCCCAACCCTAACCACCCAAACTCTCATGATCCCCTGAGCAACTCTGATCTGGTCCACCCTTCCATGACCTGGGTATTAATGGACGAATCCTCCTCCAAGTCTTTGACACTTTGATTTTTCAGTAGACAACATGCTCCTCGGTTGGAGGAGGTCCTCAAAATGCTCCATCCACTGTTTTGGCTTCAGTTCAAGTGACTCCTGGGACAACCCAGCCTGAGAGGTCCTCTTCTTCAGCTTGAGGGCTTTCAACAGCACTGGTGTGCCTTCAGTTGACCCATTCTAATTCCCCCAACCTCCCCCAGTTGTTGAGAAAAATTCTCCCAGAAGTGTGAGTTAAAGATCACGCAGACAGGGTCCTCCACCAGAGAGTCCACATTTACCCTCCTGAATCATCATTTGGGTTTACCAGGTCTTTCCCTCAGTCGCGTGATGGTGATTGGTTGACAGCTCTGCCAGTCATTTCTGGTGTTTACATACACCATAATTCTCCATCAAAGGTCTCACTGTTACTAGTGAAGACAAGCAGTTGCGGTTTGTTCATTTGCCTGAACGAACCCTTCAGCGTCTGTTTAGAGGGGGCTCATTACCATAACATGGCTCTTATGATATCAAAGATCAAAGCTACAGTCGAATACTGAAGGACGCATCCAAATTACCAGTTTACGTGCCTTTCCAGATCAGCAGGAACCAGGAGCGCTGCACACAATGCACAGTGCACCATCGTGTGTCAAGTGGATCTGTATGTCAATAAATGATGGCTTCCCCGGATGAATAACGAGAGAGAATTTGTAGTTTTTGCTGTTCAGGGAATCTTAAAGGTTATCGGCAAACATTCATAATGGAGGCTGTGTGTGTGTGTGAGTGTGTAGGTGAGCGCCTCACTGTAGAGTAGATGAACCACTGCTATCTGCTTGACATTTCTGTCAGCACCGCTATTTGAACTGCTGGGTAGCTCTGACAAATGCCATGGCTGTCACAGGCTCAATTTTAATTACACCTGACTGGGTCTTTCACAAGCTCATGGATGAAGTTAATTAGTTTGAGAGTGCTTGGGATGGTTCTGGTGCGGTTTGGTTCAACTTAAACAGATTCTTCTGTGGCTTTTTCATTGGCATTTGAATGGTCTTGTTCTGTACAAACCAGGAGATATAATAAGTAGGAGGAGGAATGGCTCGGGGGATGGAGGGAGTTCACTTTCCAATACCAAGTTAGATCTTAACGCCTGGCTGGTGTATATATACAGCGGACCTTTTAAATGCCACAGACTACCTTAAAATAAAAAGTATTGACACAACTTAAAAGTATGTGATACTTCAGCATAATAAAACAGTATTAAATGCCAATAAGATTAGGGCATTAGAAGGATATTCTCAATGATGAACAGTTTTACCAATAATATCTTTGTCTTGTATATGGCTGAAGGACTCATGGGTAGCTTTTAAAAAAAGGAAATAAAGTGTGCTTTACAACAGAATATTGTTCAAATGCCTTTGGCTATCAGTCTGTTCTTTTGAGTGGAAAAAAACAACAACTTTAATGTTAAGATTTTCTTTCATATTTTGTCACTCTCTCAAAGTCTCTCAGAGTGAAACAAGTTTGAAGTGAAATTGAACGGGGGAAAAAAAAAAGGGGGGAGGGCAGAATAGTCCAGAGGCTATGTGCCATTTTACGTTTGGCACACTGGCAACTAAAGATAACACAGAGACCACTGTATCTTAGGAGCTCTCCCCTGCACACGACAAGGCCATAGTGATGATTAAGTGGTTAGTACATTTTAATGAACACAAATCCATTCAAGTGGAAGGCCATTTTAATTGAAATTCCCTTCTGTTTAATAACTGAACATATTTGCAGTGAGTCACTCCTCTGGAGATATCTGAGGTGAACATAATCCATTTCAGTACATTGCTCTTTACTCCTCAGACACACACTGTAGTTTTTGTTGGTGTTCTTTGCTCCATTTAGCTGTGTGAAAGGCCACCATTTCCTGACATATTTCACCTATCCCTCCCTCCCATCACTGTCACAAATGAATCCAAAAGCAGAATGGAGAATGTCGCTGTTGCTCACTTTACACACTTAACACTATCCATTTCACAGAAGTTAGATTTTAATTGGATTGTAAAGTGTCTCCAAATTTGACTCCCAACACAAACGTGTGATCAGAGCTGTTTCAGACACGAGTGCACCTTTGCTACTAACAAAGCTGCAAAAGAATCTGTAACTTTAGTTGAATAAAAGGAAGAAAAAAAAGCTCAGCTCGATATCATACCAAAAACAATAATTTATTACCATTTCTTTTGCAAAGATCACTATTAGAACACATTTTACCTCGCTACAAATGTGCCACCTATGCATTACTCAAAATTCAACCATCAGACATCGACTGGAAACATACAGGACATGGTTTAAAATGTCAAATGTACAATATGTCAGTTAAAAACGAGGCATTTGGAATGAGCACTGTACATGTTACTGAGCTAATAAAGAGTTCAGATTAAAGGCAAACAATTAATTTGACTTGTCCTAACGTGTTCTGAGTCCTGCTCAGTGGCGGTCATCCTAACACCAGTTTAATGTGAACTGCAAACATAATTCAAAAACTTAAATGATCAAATATATGAATAAGGCAGAACAAAAGCTCCCTGTTGCACAGATATATACAGACAGTTGTGTATGAAATGAGGCTGCCACATCCATCTGTCACTGAGGTTTGGCTTTTAAGGCTATGAGTAAAGAAGACTAAAAAATTATGTAGAATATTGTTATGTAAAAAGTTTCAGCACGTCCATCTGCTGTTGAATATGTGGAGGGAAGAAAAACAATAATAATGTAGAAATTAAACAGCATCAATTCCATACCCTAATTACTAAAAGGAAAATATATACTTTTTCAGTATAAAATGAAAATGGATTCTGAAATGGGCTTAAAATAAAAATAAAATCTCAAAATAATTAGAAAACTGATTGAAAATTGTATCTGCAATGGTTTCAAGTGGTGTTAAGAAATGTTCAGATTTTCCAAATGCTAAGAAAAGAAACTTTAATCCTTTCATTAACACCCAATTTTCAGCATAGGATAGGTAAAGGAGAGGATATCACTCTGTCACACATTTCTTCATCTCCATTTCTTCTAACATTAATTTGTGCAGGTATATATGAGGTGCGGCAATATCGGAGTGAGTCAAAGTTGAGGTTAAAAAAGGCTTCGACATGTTTATGAAACACAAGTCAATCTTCGAACATTTTGAAGAAAATGTGGCTCTTCATCCCAGGTGACTGGCCACTAATAATGTATTAGATTTTTCCACATCTCTTCATGCCCTTACCAAATTATTATGAACCATGTGATTGGATGTTTGATATCTGTATGTGTATGTATATGCACCTTGCAGTTTAAATGCAATCAATACTTTATGACGTGTGAAGCTGACTGGTTCATTTCAAGACTTAATGGGTTGCCATACCATGCTTATGCACTAAAAGTGAAACTTAATCTCAGCTCTCAGCACAGTATGGAACTTAATGGATTTCTGCTCTTAAGGACCAGTACAGACGATGTGTTAAATAAAGTGGCTTTTAAAATTTCTATGGATAGCAGGTGGCCCTCAGATCCATTGTTGCTAAGGTAACACAAAGCACAAAGAAACAGTCCAACATTCTCATACAACTCTCTCTTGAGTTATAGGGTTCCAACATAAATATAAGAATTGAATTGAAAAGATAAACATGTTCAAAGTGAAGTAATAAAATAACTGTACTGTCATAGTTGAATAGAAAATGCTTTTTTCCCCCCGCAGAGTGACGTGAAAAACAATTTTGTAAAACATCAAGAAAATGTCATGACACCACTGATAAACTCTTTACAAAATGCTTTTTTTTTGGGTTACAAAGTGTGAAAAATATTCTTGTTGTCCTGATAAAAAGGCCACTTTGAACGAGGCAAGTATGTTATACCACACGGGCTGGAAAGTGTATGTGGTTTTTTCTTTTTCTTTGTTTTGTTTTACACAGTAGTGACTGAAAGGAAGGCGTTGTGGACCTTAGCTCCTTCGGGGGCCTTCGTACCGTGAGTCATCAGCTCCTGAATGGTCATCCAGTTATCCAGGATCTTCTTGTTCCGCTTCTTCATCATCTTTTTGTGGCTGAGCTCGATGATGCTGACCTCCTTGCGGGCCTCGCTGCTGCTCTGAGGGTTCTCCTTCAGGCTCTCCAGCCGACTGCGCTGCATGAATTCCCGCCTTCGCCTCTGTTCCTTTGCCCTGACCAGGTGCTGTTTCCTCTCCTCTTTACTCCAGTACCGCCCCATCTTCATCTCGCTCATTGCGTCATCGTCGGTGGTCATCCCCCCGCTACGCTCTTCTTTAATCTTTAAGGCCCTCTCCCTTAGTATCTTGTCCCTTACGGGCCTCTTGGTGATGTAGCGGGTGCCGTCGCTGCGGATCTTGACCTTCCACTCCATCTTGGGCTCGTTGACGGGTCTCTGCGGCTCTTTGCAGACGCTGAGCAGGCTGAGCTGGCTCTGGGCGTACTCCACGGCCGAGCGCTGCTGGATCAGCTGCATGTAGCTCTGGTAGTGGCGGGCGTGGGCCGGGATGTTGGCGTACCTCTGCTGGGCGCTGTGCGAGGGGGAGAAGTAAGGGTTCCGGGAGGCCCTCTGCTTCAGGCTCCCGCCGCCCTCCTCCTCCTCGGCCTGAGGCGTCTGGTCCGACTCGGAAGGGTTGCTGTGGTCAGGGCTGCTGCTCTTGCCCAGGGCTACTGGGCCGGGGCCGGGGCTGGGGCTGGGGCTGGGCGACTGACCGGCGGCCAGGCCGCTGCACAGGTTCCTCTGGTTGGTGAGGCTGACCATCCTCTGCAGCGAGTGCTCCGGGGAGCGGTCCATGGCCAGAGGAGTGCTCCGCGAGCTCTCGGCCGTGTTGTAGGCGCTGGAGCTGTCTTTGTCCGACTTTTCCAGCCTCTCGCTGGTGTCGGCCAGCTTCCCCCTCGGGGGCTCCCCGCGGACGCTGCTTTGACTTTTAGCGCAGGGGGCCGAGCGGCCGGTCAGGGGGGACTGACCCTTGCGGAGCTTGTGGGCCTGCATGATGTTCTGACACTCCCGCTCGATGCTGCGCAGCTCCTCGTTGAGCATGCGCAGCTCGTGCTGCACGCCGCCCGGCTCGCCCACGCTGCACTCGATGGTGCTGCGCCGGCTGTAGAACAAGTCGTACTCGCCGCTGTTCCGGATCTGGCACTTCAGCTCCAGCAGCTGCTGGAAACGGTCGCCCTCCGCGTCCTCCTCGTCCTCTTCCTTTTCGTCCTCCAGCCGCGTGGAGCTGGTGGAGCAGCGCACGTCCCGGTTGTCCCTCAGGCACTGGGACAGACGTCTCTGGATTTGCGCCAAGACGTTGGCTTCAGAGCTCTCCATTCGGTCCTTTATAGTCCGTACGCTGTCCTTCAGGTAGGGGAGCATTGAGCAGGTAGGCTTGTCATCTTCAGCTATCTGAAATGAATAAAATGCAAAACTGTAATATCTGCATCATGACATTTTTTCCCCATTGAAGGTTTTGCTTAAAAATATACTGAATGCAATTTCAGTGCGGGAAATAAGTATTTGACCCCTTGCTGATTTTGCAGGTTTGCCCACTTACAAAGAATGCTTATTTTTCCTCATTAGATGGTTATCAATTTTTACAAATTCATATGATGTGATTTTCTGGAATTTCCTTTGGGATTCTGTCTTTTACTGTTAGAATGTACATATGATTAAAGTTATAGATCGTTGCATTTTTTGTAAGTGGGCAAACCTGCAAAATCAGCAAGGGGTCAAATACTTATTTCCCCCACTGTATCTACAAAAATTTGAAAAAAAGCAGAATTCCAAGATATAAAATCTCTAAAATCTCAAAGGTGTTGATATTAGTAATAGGGGGAACATTTTATCCCTTTTGGGTTTTCCTGTCCTGTTACTTTGGGTTCCTTTCACCCTAAAATGCCTGTTGGGTTATTTGATGGTTCTAAATGGTCCCTTGGAGTGAGTGTAGGTGCATATGGTTGTTCTCTGTCTGTGTTGAATTGGCTACAGGTATAAGATGTACTCTGCCTATCGCTCGGTGGAAGCTGGGAAAGGCCCCAGTCCCCCACAACGCCGAACTGATTAATTAGGTACAGAAAATGAATCGAGGGATCATTTGTGGTACGTCATATCAAAAAGATTTAGATGACTTGAGATCCAAACTAATCTAAAATAAACTGAGGCAAAGAGGTAATCTGTGCTTGGACTTGACAAAGCAAAATTTGAATTGATGTTATTTATTTATTTTTACATAAGCTGCGTTGGCACTTTCACCAGGACAAAGTCAGCAGTCTTGTGAGGGGTGCATCAGTAACCATGCTGTGGCTAATTGAAGGTTTTGGGCTCTCCCAGCTGGGGGCTTTTGTGCTATTCTCAGCTTTCTCCGTTCACTCTATTTACCTGTTTTTCCTAACTCTCACAACTCAAGCAAAAAAAAAAAAACCTGAGCCCAGGAAGTGGTTCTTCCACCATCTTGGGGAGGAACACACAGACTGTGTAAGCACAACTGTAGATGTTGCTGTGCAAATTTTAAGCCAGAGAATTAATGGTTGATTTTGCCATTGATAAAATTTCTTATTGAGATGTTAGAACCTTCATTTTGAGTAGATTTAAAATATAAAATAAGAGGTGGTGAACTAGAACATGTACCTGCAGATCAGCTAGGAGGTATTCCATTCAAAACGTTGTTAAATGTGCAATAAAACATTCTCTTCTCATCATCAATTAATTCAGAATCAAATGACCCTACTCTGTTTTCCTTGGTCTGTGGTAATGAATTTAGAAATACAGCGGGATTTTATTCAAAAGACAAAAAACTCACAGAACTTTCTTTCAGAATACAGGAAGGGCCAACTCTATTTTACAATCTCCAGATGGAATAGAATGTTTTGCATAGCTTTTGTACAACTCTGATACTTCAGGGGTTTGCCACCTCTCCACCATGTCTTTGAAGTCCCAGTTAGACGGATTTCTTTTTTAGCGCATCACCCTCCCGACAAAAACAGAATTTGAGATTATGATTGCTAATCTTTGGAATTGGTTCAGTGGTCCCCACCCATAAATATTCATACAAATATCTTTATTCAGTTCTCGATTCAAAGGACAATGCTTGTTTTCACTCACTTTGCAGGAAGTCATTAAAGAGTTTGATGCCTCCAACTGGGTCTTTGTTGTTGCAAAGGTTTATTTTGACAGCAAGTAATAAGTCAAAATGGGATTTTATGAATAAATATGTCTCCCTAATTAGCTGTAAAATGCCTGTTAAGAAAAATCAAAAACTTCTAATGCCTTGCATACAGATAAAAAAGCTTTGTCAATCAGTTTACCAATGGTCAGCATTGAGTTGGTTTTCCTTTTCTGACCTGTTCGTTCTCCTGGTCCTCCTGCAAGGCGGCTAGTTCCATCTCCTCCCTCTGCTGCTCCTCCAACATTTCCATCTTCAGCTGCTCTAAGAACTCACTATGCTCATCATCCAGCCAGGCCTCTTCCAGCTGGGGGGGGGTGAAGAAGCAGAACACACCAGACATGGAAAAGCATTATTTTTCAAAGCTCAGAGCTTATAGCGACAGAGCCTCAAAACAAATAGCTGGATTTTCCAAGTGGGTGCACAAATGGGATTTTCTGAAAAACGCCTCATGGTTTTAATATAAGAAACTAAATGTGTCTACATGCCGTGTTTGGCTTGTAGGCAGCATCCTACTTTATTACAGACAAAACAGTTCATCTTAAAACCAGGCCACTCCAGTTTGATAGCTGCAACACCCCCACTTTTGACCTTTTTTTTGCTCCACGTCATCCATCAGTCTGTCTGGTGTGGCCCCAATGGGATCCATCTTTGATGACTTTAAAATTTACTACTGAAAACCCATTTAGTTACAAAGAGTCTAATGCTGCTTCCCGCTCATCAGCCTCTGCACTGCGGCAGAGTCCCTCCACTTCCTCTCGCCCTCGGCCTTGGGCCTGAACTCACTCCACATTAGCATGCCATTAGCTTTTATGGCTTACTGTTGGAAGTCAATTACAGTGGTGCTACATAAAAATAAAACATGATGAGGTGTCTCAGCGGTGGTTTCCTTCAGGAGTGGATGTGTGCGCGCTGGCCGGACACCCCAAACTGCTCAGGTTTGCTCTGAGCAAACATACTTTGGATGGGAAATTTTTGTGACTGTAATTCGTCAGTTATTGCTACTCGAATCAGCGAAAGAAAGATGCAGTATGATGTACAATTGTGTTCTTTGTTAACCTGCAGCTCTGGTCTGGCCACCAGCAGGACGATGTTCCTGCACTCGTCATTGGAGAGAGCGGCCATTGCTTCTTCTCTCTCTTGCACATCTTGGCCATTAATCTGAAGATGACAAAAAAATAGAAAGTTTACCTCACTCGTCATCAAATCAGAAACAAAAAGGACAGTACAGACATGCAGAATGATTCCACGCCATTGTGAAAGCCATCACCAAAAACAAAGTGCCACGGCAACTGCTTCCCTTTCCCGTGTACACTCTCTACGCTCCATTGTTAATATGAACCAGGACCCCGGCAGTGATTAGGAATGAAAAGGTGGCTCTGGGCTGATGAAGCTGTTATGTTCACCAAAGTATCCACAGCTTTCATACATCTAGCCATACAATTAACTGGCCACTGACAGGTAGCGTCCATCTTTTAGCGGGCGGAATAATGGCCCTGTCACCGGTGGATAATAGTGGCACAACACTGGCCTGCATCACACATACACACACCTCTGGCTCTAAATCAGCTGCACAGCTCATAGTAGACTGATTTAGACAATTAGAGCAGGAGTGCAAATGTAAACAATCCCCACATCTACTGTAACATCTGCTCACAGACTATTTAGTGTTTCCTTGAAAGGAAACCTGCCTCATCTATAAAGTTTCCAACTTTCTGAGTTAATTCAGCTGAAGATTTAAATCCTGATTATTTCTATTGAGCATGTAGTTATGAATTATGAAGTCTAGGACTGCTGTTCTTCCTCATCTCTGCATCCTTACTTCTGAATGCATCTTTTACACATCGGTTTCTGACAACCCATCACTGATACACATCATTTTTCATACAAACCAAACAGCGTTGCATTTCTGTATTCTTACATCAATTCTGTGATGTCTGTTTGATGAAGCACAAGAAAAGTGGAACACTTTGGCCTATGTTACTATATTTCTTTCCTTTCTTCGACTCAGGCTTTCCTTTTCTTTGTTTTCACTTTCTTTGAATGATTTACTGATATCTCTATAGACGCAATTTTCAATCTTAAAGGTGTGAAAGCAGTTTTACAGGAAACATTTTAGGCAACTTAATCTTACACTGGGAAATGTAAGATAAATCTCTTTGTTATTCCCTTTCTCTATAAGGGTAAAGCAACAAAAGCAAACTTTACGTTCATAAAAGTGTGGCTTTAATTCATTTTTATGTTTTGTTTTTCTTTGCAGATGAATACAACACTAAACACAAAGACATGAAACGAGACTGCAGAGAAGACTTGAGAATGTACAAAAAAGCCTGACGATGACATTTTTTCTCATTAAAGTGGTCAGAGTAGAGTGGTGGACTATTTTGTTGCTTTTTGTTGATCAAAAAACAAGAAAATACTAATGCCGATGTACAGGTTGAAACTGTTAAAGGTGTAATTACCAGTTAATTAAATGAGAGCGTGCAATCATAGATGTTTTTTAATTCTTAAAAGTGGAAAAAGTACATCCATTAACAGACTCTTAATATGAAAACTATAGGCCATTACTTGACTTTTCTGAAGCAGTCCCCCTCCTACTGTAAATCCCCAGATGGAACACCCTTTTAACCAGATGGTCAGACAAATCCTGCTCTTTGCTCTCAGGCTTGAAAATGAAGTTCGGGGGTAAAGGGTGATAGTTTTCGCAGCCTCTCAGCTATCTGAGAGGAGGCATCGAGCTGCAGCGCCTCCCTAAAGCTGAAACTCTTCAAAAGCCTGTTGGTGCTGAGTCTGTAGCTAAAACAGCCAGGGGCGCCATAATGTGCTGCCATTAAAAATAAATGGCCTTCTCTCTGCTAGTAGACAGTGGGTAAGTGCGACAAAGTAAAAAGACAAAAAAAAACTACCGAAAAAAAAAAAAGCCACAGTGTTCTTTTAGGCCGAACTGCACCAAAAGAAGGTTCTACTGCACCTGTAAAATGCGATCCCCCTCTCGGATGCGTCCATCTCTGGCAGCGATGCTGTTTGGACTGACCTGGGGAGGGAGATTGAACATAATCATGCCTCTAAGATGCTTTCACGATGCTCTGAGATGCTACATGTTTATGAGAGCCCATGAGTGCTTGAAGATATTTAAGTTAATTTAGTTTAGAAGTCATCCCTGAGCTAGACATGTCCAGACAGACGTCTGAAACATTTTTAAAGCACTTTTTTAGAGGCAGAGCAAAATCTACAAAAGTGACAACTCGTATTTATTGATAAGGTTAATTTGCCGTGTCTGTTTCATACATTATTTCGTGATGAGTTGAGTCCGCACAAGCATTTGTATGTAACATTTTGAACCCGTAGAAGCACAAGGTCTATCTGCAGCTAACGCAAGTCAGCAAGAGGGCAGGGCCCTCCTTCATCAGCCAATCAATTCACGTCCATCGGCGTTAATTTCACTTTCTTCTCTCCGAGAGGATTTTTGATTACACTCGTGCACAGATACTATCTCCATGATAGTTTTCTCCCACGTACAAAGACTAATCATTTAACTGGGAGGGAGGTTCCTCGATAAGGAACGGGTGAAGGATGGAGGAAATTGAAGGAAACTGCTCGGCAGCGTGGGGGAGCGCTTACATCCGTAAATAATCTGCTGAAAACTAATTTGCCGGCAAAAAAAAAGAAAAAGGAAAATGATCTGTTGAGGATATAATTGGAAGCGCTGAAACCTCTGCGGTTCCGGCTTTGCCGCAGAGAAACAAGGCTCAGGGTTTGTTGTTAAGTTTTGCTCCTTGCCACTTTGCTTTTCCCACTCGCTTTGAACTCTGAGAAGTGAGGAGGAGAAATGGATCTAGAGGGGGAAATAAACAAAGTGGAGGAAGGTGCTTTGAAAGAACACTCCTGTGAGAATTGATGTGCCTTCTGGCCGTACAACGGAACAGTGACCTGTGCAGGATGGACTTTTTTTTTCTTTTGTTTTTCTGGTCTTATGCATACAGACGCAGACTCCATCACCCTCACATCTTGACGGAATCAAACAGAAGGTGAAAACAGAGTCATTTCTCAAGATCTGCTCATTTAGGAAATTCATCTGGTCAGAGACGTTGTTAATAAACTCTGTTTGTTTTCTCAAATGACAGAAAATTAGAAAACCTCTCTTCTGGTGACCTTCAGTCACCTCATCTGAATGCAGCACACACACTCTTACCTTTTTTTTAAGAAAGAAAAAACACATAAGGATGCTGCCTAAAAACCTCACGGCGTTGTGATTTACATTCTGCTCACCTCTCAATGAGAATACCTTGCACGGTCTGAGTCAACTTCAAACGCTATTTGGGAGAACGCGGCGCAGAATGGAGAACAGTATTTTTTCCCAGCATCCAAAAAGTGGGAGAGAGAACACAGAGTGGGAGTCTTATTTTTTAATGTCACAGCCTGTTGGTGTGCAGCTGCTCTGAAGCAGGCTGGATAACACACCACAACCTCAGAGCATTCTTGTTTTCTTTGTTAATTTTTTGTTTTTATTGTAATTTTTCCTTTGTCTGTGTCATGGCGGTCATTTCATTTTGACACCTAAGAATGTAATTTTGGACTTAGACAATCTGTCCAATAATGCAATCTGTATCTGATAATAGTTTTATTTCTAAGTACCGCTACCACGAAAAAAAAGAAGAATTTGCTCACATGCATACTGATGCAAATCATATATTACAAGATGAATATTAAATGTCACAAATGATCTACTTGGAGAAAAGCAGAATTCTCAGTAGCTTAAACATTTCACTCGGGCCCCCTGATGTAGAGAGATGATGGTTGTCGGTTTAAATAACAGACAATAATATGTAAATGTGAGACTTCAAAGAACTGAAATATTTCTAGAATATGCTGATAAAATAGCTTGTGCCCTAAGAGTAATAATATAGTTTACTTTCAAACCACAAGAGTAGCAGTTTGAACATCAGGCAGGAGAATCATGTATGATGCATGTTTTCTGATTTTTTCAGTATCTCTGGGAACAAGGCAGAAAGCTAGAATATAAATAGGAAACTGGTGTTGCCTCTGAAATAAGCCTTTTTTCATTTCACTCGCTGTTCTCTGCATAAAGAATACTCAGGTCAAACAGAACTCATAAATACAATATATCACAGCTCATTATTTTATGTAATTCAAATCTTCTGTGCAGCTGAAAATTAGGACATTTAGCATCTTGACAGTGGATATTGTCACATTGTGTGAGGTGATTGTTTCGGTGGTTTATTTTTTACCTTTGAGGGCATGGAACAATAAACATGCAGTTCCAAATTTTCAGAGTTACAGAGCTCAGTGCTTCCCCATGAATCCCAAACGTAGACGATGAAACTTTCAGTTATTCAGTTAGACGTGCAGTATAGCTTCCACCTTCCACATGACCATCATCAACATTCTTATCAGAAAATGTGTTGTTTCACATTATAGAAAAGCCAAAGGTTTGTGTTTTTTAATTCATGTTTCTCACTAACAGATTAACACATGGCAGGCATTACTTTGCCAACAGCCTGATTCAGGGAGAAACTTTAACCTATTCTTATGTCACACTTTGGAACTGCTGAGTGCACAAAGAGCCGCTCACTAGAAATGTGTGTTCTCACCTCACTGACAAAGATGGCCACGTCCTCTTCTTCATCTGTCCTGTAGCACAGAGTTAAGCCCAGCTTCTCCTGGCTGGTGAGTCGACAAAGTTCAACTTCCTATGTAGATAAATTAAAAAAATAACAAAACAAGAATATTAGAGAAAGAGCATCTACTGAGAAATTAACAAGATGTGAGAAAGTTTCAGAGAAGCCACTAACAAACTTTGAAGAGTACTGTGACAATGGCTACAAAAACAGTGAGAAGCTGCTCCAGAGGAGGTCATGTAACAGGCTTCTTTGGGCCTAGTTACAGAAATCCCTCTTGTTTTTGGGTCTGGGTTGCCGACTTCCTGCGTTTTCAGACTGTGAAAGCATTTGATCATAAAAGACATTTTAAGTTTGGAGAGTTTGACCTGTGGGTCTTTGTTGAATGTCAGAAGATCTCCAGCGATTTTTGTTCTTTGAAGTCTTTTACAAGTCACAGAACATTACACTACATTAATGATGACATACTTATTTGCGGAAGATTTTATTTGACTTGTGAAGAGATAAACAAAAAAAAGCAACAGAAATCAGCCAGATTCTGGAACACAGTGTGGACCTCAGGTTTGGAAATGAATTCTTCATTCAGGTTTTCAACACAGCATGACGATGTTTGTGTTTTGATCTTTTATTCTTTCCCCCAAACTATCTAAAGAGTTACTGCAGACAGCCAAGTTTGCTCCCCACCCTGGTGTTTGGTCTCCCACAACAAAGATGCAGGAAAACGCCAGCCGGCAAAAGCCCGCGCCTGGCCTTCGCATGCCCAAACACATCAAGGGGTATTTGAGGGATTCATGTGTGAAATGGCCTCCACTCCCAAGGTCTTCATTAGAGCAGAAACACACCGACTATCAGCAGCAGGAGCAAAGCGGTGGAGTGGAGAGGTGGATGGAGCGGGCGGGGAGAAATGAGGTGGTAGCTCTGGCTGTTTTCTCACAGGGGTCCGGCACGAAAACAGAGATTTATTTGGTCTGTGACGAGTGCAGGTCGGCTGGCTGTGTGTGTGTGTGTGTGTTAGACGTGGCGTGGCTTTAGGACGGGCGGCTGGGGAGGGGCAGGTATCGGACCATGCTGGGGTGAGATGAAATAAAGTGGAAAAGGCCAACATCTCCCGCCTTTGCCTCCACTGCTCAGTTCCTTATGACTCTACTCTACAGAATACTTTAGGCTGTATCGCTGTTACTAGAGATTTCGACACATCTGTATCTCTGCTGTTTGCACAAACGCCGTCAGATCATTTAGGTTTTTCAGAGCAGGGTTAGAAAAAAAGAACAACCCAAAAAAATAAAAAATGATTTTTTAAAATCTCATCATACACAATAAAAGACATTTGCAAAGAAAAAAAAAAGCTTATGAGGAACTTCATCATCTGAGGTCTGTCTTTTTTATCCTTTTTCTGACAGCCACCATCTGATGTGGAACTCAGATCTTTAACTGGCTGCCTTGGAAAAGATGACAGCCTAAAATCCCAGTTGATGTGTTAGTAGATGACACGAATGAGGGAGCCTTTGAGATGAGGGTGACTACCTGAACAAAGCGAGTTACAACACAAACGATCTCAAATCAGTCAGTGACTTTATTGAGTGATTTTTTTTCGAATGGACCGTCGTATATGAATATTACTGAAGCAACCCACTTCCAGAAGCATATAGCGGAGCATTTAGAATTAAAAGCAGGTACATGAGGAGACACCTTGGATGCTAGAGTGAAGTGTGACATTGTGAGATATCTGCGGGAGACACTGAAATCACTAACAATGTCTCGAAGACATCTCTAAAAATACACCACGCAAATTAATTGCAGATATTGAGGCAAATCAAGAGGTGTGAACAGGTGCTGCGCGATCTTTATCTTCAAAACAAGCCAGAGAGTGCTCCTGACTGACTGGTGGTTAATTGAAGAGCACCAAATCTGCGGCCAAATTCGGCAAAGAAACAGATTACTACTCTCCCCACATGTGGACTGGAGCATAAAGTCTGTGCCTTTTTGACAATGTCTCCCTTTTTTCTTGATCAGATGCTCTTTAGCTTTCTTGCTTTTAGAAAAAAAAAAGAAAGAAAAGAACACCCACTCCTTCAGATGTCTCGGTAAAAGGTGGCCGACTCCTGAGCTGTCAAAGAAAATAAATAAATAAATAAATAAATAAATCACCAATCTCTGCCACTCCGGTTGCCTTTCGAGTTATTTTTTCTCTCCTCCATTTTCCCGGCCAGCTCTCTGCCTCTCAGACGGGAGATTGCGGTGCATCACGGGGATGAGAGCTGACAGTAAATTAATGACTGTGATGGCGTGATTAAGGGGAAGATTGCTGCCCACCATCAAAGCATATTGGCTGCTGTCATAATAATCTCGCCTTTGATTACCAGTAATTGAAAAAGCAGTCGCAAAAGCCATGGATGGCCACCACAGGCAGGAAAAAGCGGAGAGGAACATCTCCCAGCTTGGAGCATCTTACTTTCTTCAGAACTCATCAAAACCTCTTAAAGGGACGGTCACGAACACGGTGCTGTGGCAACATGCACTTCAAGTATTCTTAGGAAGTGTATGATGTTTGGGTGTGAAATCACAACAATAAGATACGGTCTGTGTAGTCTAGGGATCCAAAAGATGAGACAGAACAAAGCCCTGGTGGTGGAAAAATTCACTCTCAGCGTATTGAAAAATTAAATTACAGTTACCCTCCTCGATTTTTTTCACAATTAGATCTTGCTTTCTCTGATTTGTTCCAGAAAATGGGACTTTTTCTAAGTCTAAGAAATTTGAGATTATTTCTGAATTTATCTAAACATTTCTATATCAGCTTTTCCACCAGCATTGTCCCTGCCGTGCGCTGTCCATGGTCCTAACCGGCGTAACACCAGTGGAAGCTTCTTTTGTGTGTATTTTCACCCTCTTCGTTTCCCTTTTCCACCCCCTTCTGCCTGTGTCCTTGAAATAATTCACAGTCAAACATAACTCATACATCTTCAGCTGATACCAATTAGAAAGGATGTTCCAAAGTTGTCACCTCCCCTCCTCTTTTCATGTGTCTGTTCTCAGCTTGTCTGAAAAGCAGGGTGGAAAAATCAAAGACATGCGTTTTGGTGACTTTGATAAGGGGACTCAGCAATGTTAGTGTGCTTAAACTAAAAAAAAGAGTCTATCAACTCAGTGAATTTGCTATCCAGCACCCTCTTTTCACCAGCCAATAAAAATCAAGTCTAAGCTTATTATAGAACACTTCTATACAAGACATCTGTGTTCACAGAGTACTTCAATATCTGTCAAAGAGAATGAATACATCTTTATCAAAGAATCCTTGTTTAAAACATGAACTCTTCTGCTGTTTCTTGGATGAGTTGTGTGGTTAAAGGATAAGAACGTCAATGTCTGACATCTGAGTGGCCAATTTACGTTACTCTACCGTGTTCACCTCAGTGGGATTAGGCATCTCTCTACCTTGTGAGCATCAGTGTCCCTCTGTGACAGAGGAGGGAAATTTGTTTGGACGTGTTCTTGGTTATGTGCAGCTGAAGGAGGTGTATTTCAATCATTTTCACTTCTCCTTCAAAGACAAGTCAGGGATCAGGTCTAGTCTGTGAGAGGCTTTTCAGCTTCAGCCCACATCCCCCTCACTGCATTTCTAGCTGACACCCTGCAAGTGGGGGCACATTAGTGAGGGCACAACCCCCCCAGTGCACGACACAGTGCAGGCGGCAAAGCACACACAGAGTAATAGGATTTGTTAATAGCAATGAGGCATAAAGAAATGCTTTAATATGTCTTATATTTTGGATTTGACATTGGGGCCCTTTGAGATCCAAGTGGGTGAGCAAATCTCTTTAGGATGCGAAAAGACAAGCTCCAGCTCAGTGGGTGGAAACATTCAGAACAAACTCAAATGAAACAAACAGAGGAAGGGAGGGCTGAGCAATCATCATACATCAGAGCAGTCGCTCGCACCTCAATGACTCGGAAATAAACGATATTGGACGAAAGCAGAGGGGAGAGTCTGTTTATGTCTTCCTATCACAGTCGACTCAGTGCATATGTATGTAAATCCGCATGTGTCAGAGATCAACCGTCTCTGAAACATCACCTATCCCTCTCATCTGCTCCTTACACTCCAGTAAACGTGCGGCGTCGAGAAGATGTGTTTCTCCCTTTCTCTAATTTCTTCCTCACTAGCATAAACCGCACAGCTCATTAACCGGGTTTCTTCAAACTCGGAGTAAACAAGCTCACCAGGTTTTTCTTCCTGATTTATGAAAACAATTAGCGGATCCCGGGCAGAAGTTTCGACGCTAAAATTGGGTCCGCTGAAAGAAAGGATGAAAAATAAAAGGGGATAGACACATGGACTCATTTCAAACTGACAGGATGTACATAAGGCTTTAGCACTGTGGCTGAATGTGTATCACCAGACACCCAATGGGATCTGCCCACAGAGTATGTTAATGCTTGGACCCTTTTACTGACTAATGATCAGCAAATGTGGATTGTCTAGGGAACCAACAAATGTTTTGAAGATGATAGATTAGTTATTTTGCACTTGAAAACGAAACATAAGTAAACATTGTAAACTTCGGCACTTCTGTGCGCTAAATCCCTTGCGAAAGCAGACTTTTGAAAAAAGATTAAAAATATATAAAAAAATAAAGTAGACGCAGCCGCTCGCCTCTTGAGCGGTTACATGTAACATAAGAAATGTTTTGATATCTCTTAGCTAATTCCTTTTGAAGTTTCGCAAGAGCTGAACTTCTCCTCTCGTACTTCAAACTTTTGTGTTTCAGATCTGTACAGAGTGAAAAAACCTCTTTCTTCTGAAGTGTAGAAACGCCAAACAGTCTTTTTTCCATTTTTGGCCTATCTTCACCACAATTATTTGTTAGTTTCTGCTAACAGAATACAGAGTAACTTAACAAATATATCACGTAGGAATGCTCTTAAATTCATAGCTGGAATTTAAAATACCGAGGTTAAAGAATCCAACCTGTAACTAAGGCTTTTTGATCCTCAGTATATTGAAATTCATCGGTTTAAAGAGATATAGACACGGATGAAAGGAGAAAAGCAAACTTTTTGTTCTCAGATGAGATCATGGTGATAAAAGAAACACATATCCAGTGAACTAATAAGTGGAAAGGCAAACCAATGAAGCAGCTCTCCTGCAGTGAATGACTAGGGGCTGAAATTACAGCCGATATTAAAAAGATTTAATGTGACCTTTACCCATCTTGACACTGTATTTGTTGAAGACTGCATCCTTTTTTCATTTTTGAACACCCTAACTTCAGAAGATAGGCATTTCATTTTCATTGGTCTCAGTACAGTCAAAGTTAATTGCAAAAAGAGCTTATTCCTGGTTCTTTTTAAGACAAACTTCAAATGTAAAATAACAGTAAATCCTCTTTTTAAAGTAGGACCCCGGGTTAGCAGTGACATCAAGCGTATAGCCTACCTCATATTCAAATTCCTCTGTCCTCTCTCCATCAGCTGGAACTGGCGAGAGGTAGTCTGTCCCTTCATAGTAATCCTGCTCCATTGTATGCAGAGAATGGCAGCTGTCAGGAGAGAAAAAGGGAAGAGAAGGAATGGAATAAGAACATGGTGGGAGGCAAAGAAACACAGAGAGGTGGAATTCTGATTATTAACAGAAAGCTTTCCCCAATTTCCTTTCAAAACATCAAAACCGAAAAAATTAATAGATGTTGCTGCTTTTGTCTTCACTGGAATAAGAGGAATAAAGGAATTGTCAAGAGCTTTCATTGGCACTGGAGTGTCGGATAAAAGTACACCCCCTTGTTAATAACAGAAAATACACACTCTGCAATTCGCCTCCTGCTCTTGACAGGACAAAACCCCCCACACTGTACAGTGTAGTTCTATTATAACTCCATCAGTTGTTGAACAAAACGGGCATTGTGATGCCGTAACAAAACGAGCGGCTTCCATGCCACACAAGATAACCGCTGTGGGACGAAAACCTCAAGCAGACACCCTGTTGAACATGTTGAGTGATGTGTTCAGTGGCTGTCTGCCTCTGAGATAAGCCCGCACTGTAAAACTGTCAGAAAACAACCTTTCCCTGTTAAACAGTGAAATGGTAAATGTCAGAATGCTTGATGCTTCAATATCACTCCTATAACAGCGCGTTGTCGTGGGCGCAAAGAATACAATTACAATTTTACAATCCAGCCTCAACCACAAGATGCTGAACATTTTTATCTATCTATAAAAATCCATAATGTCAGTAGTATATTGGATTGTGCACCTGATCTCACATGAGGAGAGGAAAATGTGAGTTTTATGGGACACATTGATTACATTTGGACTCGGCCCCAGGCTGTACGTATACGTTACTTTGTGTTGACTACTTTTTATTAGCCCATTTGCTTTAATCACCTTGTAAACCTAACTCGAGTCAAAATGGATAATCAAAGCAGGTGCAATTATGGAAAGAGCTCCCTGTGGGGAATTCAGTGGTGACGAGATGTACGTACACATGTAACAACTTTGATCAGATCACATAAAGCACTTTATGATTAGCATGCAACAGAGATTGTATTGTTACTTATTACTTTTTATCGGTACTCGATGGTTTTGGCACAGACGGAGAAGCCAGGTGGGACTTTCTGCCACTGTTATGCGAGTGTGCGATGAGAAATGAAAACAGATCCATGTTTTACAACGTTTATCGTGGTCGGAATTACTTATTTAATCTGCCCGAGAACCAATAAGTCCTAATTTCTCTGTGTTATGTGCTGTAAATAGGTTACTGTCCCTGGAGGTGAAACCTAAATATTACATGTTTAACGTCTTCCTTTTACAGTTTACTTCTCTTCTGAAAAATAGCAGCATTAATTACTAATAGCATGCCAATTCCCAATGGTGTTTGTGAGGAAAACTTCCTGTTGATGCTTTCGGCTCTTAAGATCTAATGTATCTTTCTTCAATGTTCAGTCAACATATGAGAGAGAAAAAACAGCTTCTGAGTTTATTTAGAACTCATCATTGATCGCATTTATTCCATAAGTTGTTTAGGGATCCAAATCTTTTTTAAGTCTTTGTTTTATTGTCTCTCTTCTAAGTATAGCTTCAAAATGACATCACAGTATATATATATATATATATATATATAGGAAGCTTGCTTAAATCTTTATTTGTCACTGTTCCAAATGCAGCAAGTAAATCAACCTATTTTCTATTTTACAAGCATCCTATAAGTGATATTTCTGCTTTGTAGCTCGCAAACATTTGTCATATTTGTTCCCCTTTAGAACGTCTCTTATCCCAGCCAAAGTCAAAAGAAGGACACAACAAGAAATTGTCTCCGTCGCCGTGGCAATGAACCATAATCGCTGTAATTATGTACAATGAAATTTAAGGCGAGCTCAAGAAATAATTTGAAATCACTGAACTGTGAACTATGGATCATTATGGATCAACAGTTATACTTATTCAGTCTACAAAAAAAACAACAGTAATCATTACTGTTTTTTTTTTAGTAATACACATATTATTGGAACTAAAAAGAAGAAAAAGACTCAAGTTTTACTGAGGAAAGCGGATGCATCCTGTAGCTGTTCTGCATACCTGTCAGAGAGCAGGAAGGGACAGACGTCAGGCACAGGAGGGGTGGAAGGCCGGAGCTTTGCCAGAGCCATGATGTGTTCAAAGGTGATGTCGGTCTGAGTGCACACGTCCACCACATGGATTTCCTGAGGGGGGCCATGGGGGCGGCCGCTGGGGGTACGCCTGATGACCTGCACCACGACGGGATCCTTGGCAGCTCGAAAGGTCTCCACAGTGTCCTCATGGCTGGACCTGGACAAATCCCTCCCATTGACCTGAGGATGACAAGGATATTCCTGAATTCGTTTTGACATAATCCATCTAATTCAGCTAAACCTCTTTATACTGCAGACCGAAAGTTAATGAAAAAAGGAAATGGGAAACCAACATATAATGTTATTAAGCAAAAGGGGCTGGGGGTGGTGGTGTATGTTTGTGTGTGGGACTGCATTTCTTTGCAACTGTGGTTTTAGGGTTTAGTCTTTTGGCGTTAGAGGGACTATAGAAGAATTCAGATGCATTTTTTCTCCTTTCTCCTCATTCCTTAAGTGTCCTCTTGTCAGATGATCAAAAACAAATCTTCATAAATGCAAAACTGGAAAACATGCATACAAAAACACACTTTGAAGCAACATTATCAGAATATTAGATCAAAGCCCAAATGGCCCCTGTTCACTCATTCCATCTTCAACCTCATCTCCAGAAAATGAACTGGAGTTTCTGGCAGCCTGAAAACCATTTGCACTACAGCTGGCACATATAAAGAAAATCATTGCTTCATTTAGCCAAGTAATTTCTCTGGAAGAGAAACCATCACCGCGGAATACCTCAAGGAATGTGCTATAGATGTATAAACGGTGAAAGCAGAGATTATAATTTAGATAACCACTGAAAGTGAGCGAAAATAAGTTAAATGGAGCATAATTACATCTAGTGTGCTATTTAAATATAGCTTTTGGAATAAAGCGTTTTCTTCCTGTGGCAACCTGAAATTGGCAAAAAATGATAGCTACTAAAAGTGAAAAGAATTATTTCTATTCCCAGGTAAAGCTATGCTGGTAAACTCAAAGGCAGTAGAGTTGTGTGACTGTAATTTAACAGATATCTTAGAAATGCAACAACTTGGTAGAAATGAAAACATACAGCTGAGCTCTGTTTATAACTTATTGACCTAAAGTCACTAATTCAGAAAGCACTAGGGAACTCCCACAGAGCACCACCAACTAATTATTTACTTGTGGATTTTATGAGCATGCAGCTCAGTAAGATACACAGTACACAGCTACACAATGCATGCTGAGAAATGACTGAATGCCTTTTAAACAAGAGCAACACATCGATGAATCCTGGTATAAGTCATTCCTTAAAACCAGGCTCCTTATGGATAGTTTTCTTCTCTGATTCTGTAAATCTCTACAGGTACCAACAGATCCCCTTAGCGTTGCACATGGCCAGTTGCTGAGGCTTCAAAATGTAGTCAAGGACCTGTTTCTGATTACTGAAATCTATCATGAGACAGAATCCAAGGGAGTGAACTTTGATAATTGAAATGATCGATTCTGATGCAGATATCTGATCGTCCTGCCTCAACATCCTGTGCAGGAAACAAGATTATCTCTGTTGCTTACGTGGAAGTCAGAATGAATGAGGAGGAAGTAAGAGAGAACCTCTTTCTAAATGTCGAGTTTAATAATGAGTTTTGGCTGAAATTTCATATTCATTCATCCTAATTTTATTTTACCACATGTGCCACATGTTACTTTTCACAAATGTTCTGCTTTGCAATGCTTTATTTAATGAAAAAAACATATACACATACATATAAATATATGTGTATGATAAAATAAATATATAATAGTTTATTCCTATGTGTATGTGAGAGGGAATGCTTCTTTGCATGCGTCTTTCATTGCTTTTTTCATACTCCATGCATGTCTCTGTAGACTGAGCGATTCTCTAGAGAAACAGCAACTTATTTTCTGGACTATAACTGTGGTCATATAACTCCCGGAGCTCTTGTCAGGCTGTGGCCTGCTCCCCTGCCACCCGCTGTGACCTTTGTTTGTAGCTGTGTTACATTAATCACCTGAACAGGAGATAAACTGGGTCAACACCACTACAGTGGAACTGTAGGAGGTATGTGTGTGTGTGTGTGTGTGTGGGGGGGGGGGGGTCTCCTCTCATATCCCGAGCCAGATCCCATTCAGGTATTAAACACTACAGCATGTATTTTAAACTTAAGTCCTACATTAAAGGAACACGCAACACTTGAGCAATTAGCTTATACTGGTCATTAGTCTGGCTCTCTCTTTGTTTTGTTTTTTCTGCCTCCTTCTGCTGCTTTTCTCCTCCTCTGCAGTCTAATACCAGAACAGCCAGTCTGGCGGAAACAAAGGACTCGGAGCAGACAAATGAGGCAGCCTATGGCATATGACAGACCCCCCAAAAAAATGATTACATTTCCCAGCTCTCCCTCTGGTTGCAACTGTCCGGTCTAGCTGCCTTTTCCTCCTCCTCCTCCTCCTCCTCCTCCTCTTTCTCCTCCTACAACGCTCTACCGCTCAGTTGTACCTGACAGCCACAATGAAACGAGACAACACGCAAAGGAAAAGACTATGGAGCCCCCCCCCCCCCTCTCCATAATTTCTTTTTATGAGAGCCAGATGGAACACATAATCCCCAGTGAACGGGGGAATATTAAGTAGTCTTAAGTGCTGCATGAGGGACTTTGCAATCCTTGTTGTGTCCCTCTGACTGATGTCTCTACAGATAAACGCTATGGCTGCAATGATCTGCAGTCCAATCTGACAGATGGGAAGGGTTTTTATTAACAACTCTGCAGATATAGACAGACCAAAGATATGCTTTTCAGCACCAGGAAAGTTCATCACCGAGTCTTGAGGCACACAGAGTTTTTATTGTTGAGTTCATTGTTAAGTTCATTGCAAGATTCCTCCATATGCCTCTGTGACGGCGCTGAAACCTGTTAAAATTTCATGTGGCATCTCATTGTAGTAACACAAACAGGTCCACAAGTGTGCTTTCGGAGTATGCAAATACAAATACACATGCATTCATAAGCACGTGCCTGTCAACAAAATCCGCCCGCGACAAATTATTTAGCAGCTGTAGCATTCATCTGCTCCAAAGCAGCGCAGCAACGGCTCCATACGCACAGAGTCAACGGGACTGATCCTATTGGCTCGCAGAAACACGACGCCAATTACTCAGGAGAGATCACTCGCTCAACAATTGGGAGGGGGAGATGATCAGGTAAATGCAAAGTTGGAAAAGAAACGGGCGGCCGGATGGAGTGGCCGGATTTAGACACATCTGCTGTTTGCAGGGGGATATGCAGCAGCTGTGGCCAGGAGAAAAAATGTGTTTTCACCGAAAGCCCCCCGAGACAACCACCAGCTTTCCAGCAACAAATGCAGTAAACCAGCTTAGCGGAGTGTAACAAAGGAAAGAAACCACCTTTTTTGTTTTTCCATTTCTTTCATTTTCCCGGTCGCATGGTTCCATACTCATATGGGAAAAAAAATGGAAGAAGGAAAATATGTCCTTGTGAGAAATATGGCGGCAGAAAATGTTACCTTCAGTATAAGTGTCAGGTGACTTTTAAAAAAATCGCTGCCAACACACATATTAACATTACATTTTTTTTCTCGCTCTTTACGCTTGCGGGTTGAACTTGAAGTTGGCCTGCAGCAAAGCGAAATCTTTACAATGCTCTTATCTGTGTCCCCCTTTAATCATTTATCCCCCTTCCCTCCAAGGTAAGAAGACGCGTGAGAGGGGAACACACGGCGGCTGGGCTGGACCCTTCAGGCACCTCCTTCATCACTGCTTTTGTCTCATGGACAAAATACCGCCGAAAGACCGAGGGGAGAACGTGGTTGGTGACGACGGCGGGGACATCTGGGGCACTTTATCCTTTAAAATGACAACTTCAGCTGCATCTGATGCGTGCTGTCTGTGGCAGAAGGCACCAAACGCTGCCAGCAGCTTCCAGGGGATCACTGATAGAAGTGATTGATGTCCTTCGTCTGCGAAAAGAGAGGGCAGCCTCGGGCAGGAAACTAATAGTCTATTAGCTTTGCGCCTGGAAAGGAACTGCGTAACCACAACTTTATGGCTGGCGTGTAGCAATTTGAATCTTAATGAAATGTTTTTGTTGTGGTTATGGTTGTGACTAAGCTTTCAGGAAGCGCCCAAGGGTTTAAATGTGTAGCATTGGGTGTTGTGAGCAGCGAGTCTTTGCTCCAAACAGTCAAACTGTATCTACTGTGCGCCTTTCACCTGCTGCTTTGAGTGGCAGCCTGCAGGGTGATAAGTGTATGCGGCCAGATGGAGAAAGTGTAGCATGTAGGTCATTCAGCCCCGGGAGTGTAGTGCTTACAGACGTCAATAACAATCCTGTTTTGGGTCCTCATCTCGTCGGAAAAAAAAGGCAACACGAAAAGCCCTCGTTAAGCTTGAGTCAAGTGAGGAGACTTCGGATGGAAAAAAAAGGGGTAAAAAAAGATAGGATACTTTGGATCTGGTTCCAAGAAATTCCCAGGATAAGTACAAAGGCTCTGTGCAACATTGTCCTTTAGCCAAACTTTATGTGTTCTTAGCTCAATTAGAAGTGATTAATATCGGTCCTGATGATTATATTCACATTAAATAATTAGAAATTTTAGATTGAATTTTTTATTTTTTTCTATCAATTACTGCAAAATTTTCTCAAATGTCACAGGAGACAAAGAAAAAAAATGCCCCTTTAATCTTTTGTAAATTATCTGCACTTTATTGACAGGTGCGGAAACATATTTCCCTATCTTATCAATCTGCTGCCTTCTATTGCCAGGTTTATCTTTACATCTGTGACTAGATTACTTGTGGATGTTAGACTGTGTTCACTGACAGCAAAACAACTTACAATAGCTTATGAAATCATCCCTCCAGCTAATCCAGTGTTGCACAAACCATTGTGAAAGTGAGCAGCAACTGTGTTTCTGCTGAAATATAAGCTGCAAATCAAGAGAACTTCAATATTGTCTGTGTAATTCTTCTACTGGGAATTGAAGCAAATGAACAATTGTTTGGAAGAGCCACATGTTTTCACCAAGAGCCAAACCATTATTTTTCATTTGTGTATATTTTTAAAATCCTAATTAAAGAGAATTCACTATCCCAATTTGAGAACTTTGCTAAATGCAAAATTATTTCAACCACTGTAATTTTCTATTAAATAGATAAATGAATACAACTTTGAAATCATGAACAGATGTTTCAAGTCAAAGTGATGCATCTGACTTTTTAATTA